GGCGGGGGCGGTGCGGCAGGCGGGGGGTGGGCGCAGGCCGGCCGGGTGGGGAGGGGGCGGGGGGGGTCACGTCTCACGGCACAGCGGTTAAATTGGTACACTTGTCCGAGGGTTCAGATAAATGACCCACAGTCGGACTGACAGCACGAAAATGAGGCTGTGACCAACACGCACATTCAAACAAACATGAACTTAAAGGGTTATTACCACCACAGGGATGTCAAGGTCTGTTTGGTAATAACAGTAATGGTTTGACGTTATCTGTAAATGCTATAGCATTTTTGAAATCCCTATGTCAGTGTTTCCCAACCCAGTCTCAGGGACCGACAAATGATCCACATTTTTGCTCCCTCCCAGCTCCCAGTAGAGCAAAAATATGGTCCCCAATGACCAGATTGGGAAACATTGCCCTATATTATGGGGTTCGATAATGCTGTTCATTATCCATCACAAAGCCTTACACAGCGACAGAACACTCACCATGGCGATGGGTCTCCCAAAGTCTAGGATCCAGTTCTGTACTGTGAAGTAGAACCAGAGATCCAGGTGGAACTGCTGTTTCTTCTGCAAACTCTCAGATTCCCGGGACCCAATTCGGCTGTGAAGTAGACACAAACGTTCCACTTAACACAGATAAATAACAATCCATCCATCCAATCCAGCACAAGGTTGCAACTGCACATGCAGAAAGGGTGAGATTCGAATCAACAACCCTGGAGGTGTGAAGAAACCCACGAGCCGAGGGCGCTGCCCTTAAGGAACAAGATCATCCTGTCTGCATAAATAAAATAAGCGTGAATGAACTCTGACCCCCGGTGCGGCGCGCGCTGAATCGCCACCGAGCAAAACATCCACACAGCTCACAGCAGGAGCGACTTTCCCGAGTGAGCAGAAGCTGGACGCCGTCTGCGGGGATGAACGTGACCCAGGCACCTTGAAACACGGTGACACGTATCTCTGTGCTAAAAATGTACGTTTCGGCTATATGACACCGTGACCCACTGGCTTTCGCGGTGGACGATCCACCACACAGCCCGACACCCAACGATGTGCAGGAAACTGTAGATTGAAAAACATGGCCACTGTGTGAAGAACTGGAGCTGAACTTAGCCAATCCAAGTCAAAAAGGTTTTATACTCATTATATTTATCATGTCGAATGATAAATATATAATGGACCTAGACAGACTCAAAGACATTTTCTAAATGTTTTCTTAACGTTATCTAAAAAGTTATATTTATTTTTAAAATATTAGGTGGCTTAAAACACTCCTCTTTTTGCATGGACAGCATAACTGTACAGTACCGTTTACTTTCCTTTTGTACTGTAATGCAGTACTTCTCAAAAAGTGGTTTAGCCACTTAAAGTCTAATTGTGGATGTTTGGAAAGCAATTCATTATATCAGCACCCACAATCTTGACGATAATTCCTAGTATCCACTAAGTATCCAATAAAAAAAATCTTCACTAATTATACCGGCATTAATATTTCTCACGTACATTTCGGAACGGCACATTCTTCTCAATGGTTTAGCCGAGTCATGGCAGGATCGTAGGAAATGATTCACTGTGTTCCTTATGAAACTCTTATTTTAATTATTCAAGCATTCAAGTGAGAATAACTGGTCAAACCCCGGGAGGAAGCCGGACGCCTGGCCCGCGGAGTTGCGCCGTTTACGCATCGGGGCGTCCATCCAGCCGCCGCGTCGGACTCACAAACCCCGCTGATGGCTGGACCTAAAACATAAAAATACAAAGTCAATCCGGATCGCCAACTTCTCTCGAGATGGGTAACCTCGGCACTCCCCAACGGGACCCTTTCGTCCTTACTGCTGTTTTAAACACCATGTTACAATGTAGCGACAACGATCTCCGCATTAACACATCAGGCGTTTCGTCTCTGCTAAATTGGACATGCTTTTAAATGGTGGATCCGATGCTATCCGTTCAAAAACCCGACACTATCTCGGCTGCATTACCTCCGATGATCCTGCTACGAATCGCCGCAGCACCGGCGCTCCCATGTGCGCACGAGCAGCGGGCTTTTCCCAGTACTTACTGCGTCCCGGCCGAACCCCCCTCCCTTCTTTTTCTTTGCAATCTTTGCACGAAAAAGAGCCCTAATGCTTAGATCTATACAGACAAGACATAAGGATAAACAAAGACCTTTAATCTGACGGTCCCGTTTAAACGGCGAGGAACTGGGTCGAGGTAATGAACGGGCGAGTTATCTTTCATGAATAAGTGAAACTGCTCGTCCAGATAGACGTAATACAACCAAAGACTTTCCATCGGCATGTGGACAATCGTGATCCTTCGTGACGGCCCGTTTCCAAAACTTACAGACAGGGCACTTCGTATGGAAATAAACACGGTATGAGTGAGAGAAAAAAATCAAAGGCAAAAGCAGTTACCTCTAGATTATTGTCGTTGAGGAAATGGGTCTGCTGGGAAATCATTCATAACAGTGATTTCCTCTTAATCGTGAAATAAATCATAAAATGCACTTCAAATTAAGCGGTAGACTCTGCGCCAGTGTTCCTGCAGTTTTAAAGGAAGTACCGTTTAAGTGATCTTAGGGCAATGCCATATAAATAATTTATCACTGCAACTTATAAACTGGGTTTAAAATATTCCCTTTAATGTAACGTGACACTTTTTACATGAATAATCTCTTGACGTTTTTATTCAACGGTAACAAATACTGAGCTAATTAGATGGGATCCTTTTGTTCGAGCTCTTTTTCCAGACGGACCGATAAGCAGTTTGCACACTCACCGCTGTCATGCTTAGGGTGACAGAAAGGGAAGGGCGATGCCTGGTTTGGGCTGGACTGCACTGGACTGCACTGACCTGAACTAATAAAGTCGATAATTGGCAGTCTGCATATGAGTCCGGAAAAAAGACTTTGCACCCCATGTTGAACCCATCGATGAGACTGTCCGAAGAATATTGTTAGTATGAACTGTATTACTGTAGGGGATGAATTAACCCATCATTTTACCTTTAGTTACTTTAAAATGTTTGTTATGCGTTCTTTGATTTCAGGGCACACCGAGTGACGAGGCTGTATGTTAATTTATAAGGACGGCTATGTGAGTTTGGTGATTATACACGTCGTATCCACATTGGTTGTTAAATACCAATATAGGTACAGTGTATTGCGTAGTGTATTGCTTAATTGTTTATACGGGTTGTGTTTTCATGTAGTAGAATAGCTGTCACATCCACATAGGGCGAACGTGGTGTTTAGTATGCAGTTTTTTGGGGGACATCCCAGAGTGGGTGCCAGTCCGTCGCTGGGGAACAACAAAATACTTGTCAGTAAAACTAAACAGTTACCTGGTTAGTACCAGTGCATTTGGACATTAATCAGGCCTCATTTTATGACTCCTGCTTCCAAACTGGTCATGATCACAGTAATGGGGCCTATGGAGGTGTGACGGTGTCGCCCCCTAGGGACGGTGTCTTATCCCGGACATGAAGCGTTCACGCACAAGAACCAGTGAGATTCAAAACGGATTCAGTGGAAGATTGGTAGGCATAAGGTACTGTGGCTAACATGTATGGTGGTTCTCTAAGCTACCCTCATGTAATACAATAGAAATACAAAGCTATTGAAAGACCTGAACTGTCTATTGTAGACTTTTATCAAAGTGATCCTGCAACTTGACTACAGCGAGTGCTTAAGTGGCTGCAGAAGTATGACTGTGAAGCTTTTAGCAGGTTCCAACATACACACTGAATTCACTCTTACTTTTATGTCCTTGGGTACATGTTTTCCTGTCATTGTAGTGTTCACCCTATGTACATTATGCCTGGGGTAATCATCTGCCTTAAACTGAGGCCACTTACAGAATTCCCCTATGATTTATACAGTTCTGTAAAAATAATTGTTACATTGTTTCATTGTTAATTGTTTCATTTTTTCCCAGAATGAATTGGGAAAAAAAAAACACCTGACCCTTTTGCGAATGCAGATTAACCGTGCTTCTCAAAAAACAGAATGAGTTTTTTTATTTTTTAATGAGACATTTGTACATTTAAAGAATGAGCAGTTATCAGGGCTCTGTATGGGGCTCTTGCTGGAATCTGGCATCCACATGTCTTTTGTTTATGCCACACGATTACCCCTGCGACACTTATTCAGAGGACAAGTCATGCCTCTCAGCAAGATTAGTCTTGCTATGTTACCATAGCTACGATTAAAAAAATGCCACAATCCTTCATGTAGAATGACACAATCTTCAAGGACCTCAGATAAAATATGTTTAAGTATACTTGGATATTTACAAAATTCAAGTTCATTTTTATATAATGTCAAAGTGCATCAACGTATATTTATTTTTAAAGATATCTGAAGTATAAGATTTTTTTTACAAAATCAATTTGCAGGTCTGTGAAACAATCTGGAATTACAGTTGTGAGTTACTAGATCAAAGGAAACTGGATACCAGTTCTTCAGAGGAAAGGCAATAAAAACAAAGGCCTGTTTTGGGGACGTCCTCCTGGGCCTGCTCGGAGGCCTGGGCGGCTCGGCCCGCTCCAGCGGTGGTGACTCTGGAGCGCCCCCTATCTCAACATCGCTGCATTGCACATTTATCTAGCTCACCACTTTTCACAAAGTTGTCCCTGATGTTTTCTTGGTCACTCGCCATATCTCATAAGTCTGTGGTGACATTTTCTATTCGTGTCTCTCCTCAAAGCGAAGGAGGGTGGCGATGGTTCAAATTGTGTTGGATGAGGACTTTTTGGCAAAGGCTTTGTAACCAGAACCAGACTGATGCAGCTTCTCATAAGGACAGGAGCTGGGAGGATGGGGCCCCTTTTGAGATATTAGGGAAAACTGGAGCCGACTGTCCCAGGATGGTGTGTGATTGAGATCAACAGCACAGGGTCGATGTTGATAAGCAGACTGATGGGGGGAGAAGGTCCCAGTGTCTCTCTCTCCTGCTGTCTTAGAGTCACCCTTGGTCCCCATAAGGGACACTCACTGGCGTGCCTGGCCTGCATATCCGTGTGCCTCTGCTGCTGTTACCGCTCCTCCACTGCCTTCCCATTCACTTCTGGCTCCGCCCCCTGCTCCATCCCAGGCCCCACCTCCTGTCCTGCCTTCTGTCTCCGCTTGTGCCGCTGGAAAAATCCCAGCTAAGGGGGCAGAGAGAGAGAGAGAGCAGTTAAGAGAAACAGGACAGGACAGCATAGAGTGAGAGCATGGGGACCCCTGGAGGCCAATGATGTACCCTGCCTCCCCACTTCCGGAAAAGTCTACCGGGAGGCCCTCAGGCCCAGTGTACCTTCCAGAGAGCGAGGATGAGCAGCGCCAGCAGCAGCAGGCCACCCAGCGTGCTCCCAATGATGATCCAGATGGGAATCGGGTACTCTTCCTCTTTTCTAATCTCTATGGTTATCTGTGGAAAATTGAACAACATCAGCAGACTCTCACACTGATCATGTGGTCCAGCTGTAACAGCCATTTGACTGAGATTTGACGAATCTTCAGGGAACTTTCAAGTTTTCCATTCCATGGCCTTTTATGTTGCCTCCTTACCAATCTGTGAGAAGTTGACCTCAGACTGGCTGGAATTTGCCAAATGACAGAGCCAGGCTGCTAAGACACAACGGAGGCCATGGAATCCAATCAAGTTTAAAAGCCTTATTCCCTTCAAAGTAACCGAAAAACTTTCTTTAACTGCAGATAAAGGTTTGAGATTTTAAGTACTTCTCCTGCCTTCCATCTGTGTTAAAAAAAACACAGCAAGAAGTGTATGAATGTAATACGAATATCCTCCTGCAGGTGGCAGCAAAATTCCACATTCACTCCAAGTATTGCTGGTCCACTTGGTCCTAAAGTTTAGTTTGGACTGTGAGCATTAACGCTAACTCTTGCTGTATGACAATAGGTGGAAATAGGGTTTGTGATAGACTGGAGCAGGACATACAACTGCAGTCCTTAAGATCCAAACTTATATATTTCTGTCCAGATGTCTTCTTAACATTTGCTGACCTATGAAATTTCAGAAGAAATTTAATTGCATGACCTTTGTTGCTGGAGTATTTCGGTATTATAAAATGGCTCTCCAGGAATAAACTTCCATCTCTTAGCCTGTGGGGGGCGCCACTTCTCTTGAGGACTCACGTGTCGCACTGGCCGCTCCTCATGCAGAAACATGGGGCTAGAGGCCTCCAGTTCCAATGAGGCTGTTGTCACTACCTCAAGGGTCTTGAACTTGACCTGACAAACACAGCAGAAAACTTATTTAGAGTACCATGCCTGAGGCTGAGCAGTGTGGTGGTTTAAATAACATGACCTCCAACCCCAGACTTGTATCATGAAGTTCTGCAGAACATCAGTTAGATGAGCACTGGGGTTTTGGAACTTACCGCAAACAGAGTGTCGATGCGCAGAGCACCCCTGACCAAGAGCGCCACCTCTCTGTGAGCGGGCAGATCGATGGTGCAGTAGAGCAGTGTGCTTACAGCATTGGTGTGGTTCTACACAGCCGGAAGGAAAACATGATCGAGCACGGGTCATGGGGACAGCCTGGGCTGGACAGTGTGACGACGGGATGGGGGAGGATGGCCCTATGGACAAGCTGTAGATTTACCAGCTGAGGAATGCGGGAAAGATCCTCTGGGGAGTCTCGGCTCTGAAATCTTGGCGAGGGGGGAGTGCAGAGGGTGCCATCTACCTACAGGAAATCAAGGCCTCATCAGAATATATGCAGAGCACACAGACATGCAGTGTGCGCACAGACCACACAGACATGCAGTGTGCGCACAGACCACACAGACATGCAGTGTGCGCACAGACCACACAGATATGCAGTTTGTACACAAACCACACAGACATGCAGAGTGCAAATAGACCACATGGACATGCAGTTTGCACACAGACCACACAGACATGCAATGTCATGCAGCAGAGATCTTCCTTCCAACAGGATGGCTTTCACACCTGATCAATCAGGAAGTCATTTATCTCCAAAAGTTGGTTCCCCTGCTTCGTCACTGTCGGTATTTCAGTGCTTAACTGCAAATTCCTCACAGGGAAGAAGCCCAAATTCTGGATCTGCACATTCGACAGGAGAGAACCATTACATATTAGCGTGGGCTGGTCAACCAGCAACTGAACCACATCACAGGCAGGACTGAGCAGAAGATGCGAGAAGCAGACCCAGTGAATCAGTCCCATCATCAGATAAACCGGCCTCCTCTACCTGGAAGGTGAAATTGAAGGGATGGACCAGGCTGCGAGGCTGCACCAGGGAGCGGTCAGATTTGATCCCGTACCGAGAGGGGCTGGAACTCCTAAGAAGGAGAGAAACGTCACCAGGCGAGGGTGTCGATTGCAGCATGACAGCAATGGTTCATTGGATCACAGCAGCATGACAACGCCTCTTAATAAGGTTCAAACCCGGGACGGATCCTGTACCCTTCAGAACTGTCCAAATAATAGATGCTCAAGTTAAAATCCAACTGGATCAATGCAACAAAAATTTTAAGCATGTAGAATAAAATGGTTTCAGAATGTATATAATAAATTAGATGATCCATGACAAGAACACACATAGACAAACCTTGTGAAAAGAAGATCTGCTTCATACTTCAGTGGGTGAAAGATATTAACGAAGTTATTGTCCTTGTTCTCATCTTCTCCGTTGCTGCGAACAGGCAGTTAAAACTCACACAAAAGTAAACGGGATCTGAAACAATGTGGAGATGCCTTCAGCCACCGAGCTGCATGGGGCTCAGGGCCGGACTGTCGCTGGGAGTGTGGTGAGGCCCAGATGTGCGGCGGGGAGTAAATAACAGCAATGAAGGCGTTTCACCCTTGAGGTCCTTCAGGAAGCTCTCACCTGCTGGCCTCCAGCACAACCTGCACATGGTCCAGGAACACGGAGCGACTGAACTCAAACTCCAAGCGGAAAGACACCTGTGGGTAGGAAGGTCAGGTTTGACGTCTGGCCCTGAACACAGTAAACTCCAGTTATAACGGACTTCAAGGGACCTGCCAAAACAGTCTGTTATATCCAGAGTTGCTGTATGGCCAGAACACAACTACAGGACACCATTTACTCATGCCACACCCCAGCAGACACACTTGTGGTATAGATTATTATATTATACATGTAGTAATCCAACTTTACCTGACCAGATGCGTGACTATTAATAATCCCGACTGCGTATCTGCGCTGGATATCACCGGCACGCCACGCGCCTTGTAGGCGGAGCCTGCATGTCCGTTATAGCCGAACAAAACTACAGCTAAAAGCGGCCCTGGGGACCAAATTGTTTGTCCATTATAAGCGAAATTTCGCTATATGCAAGTCCGTTTTATCCGATGCTTTTTCTGCATGTTCTTAAAGGTGCATGGCCGGGACCTGCAGACCTCTGTCAGGACGATATTCCGTTATAAGCAAGTCGACTATAACGGGATTTTACTGTACATACAAACTGCCGACAAAGAATTAAGATGCTCAATGACAAACAAAATGATCGCAGTGTGTGGCTCAGTGGGGTTGGACACTGCAAGTGATCGGAAAGTCACTGGGTCACATCCCATGGTAAGCAAGGCCCTTAACCCCAATTGCTGCAGGCACTGGCTGGTGCTGCTTTTTGGAAATGTACATCACTTTGGGTAAAAGCTTCTGCTGAATATTGTGCTGTTGTGCTTTGAAGGGCTTTGCTCTACACTTCAGGAAGATAAATAACAAGACAGAATGTTCAGCTGTATAAATACGGGAGATGTTGTTTAAAAAGTGCTGGCTGTAGGTATCAGAGCAGTGAAAGAGTAGAGTAAGCCTCTTGAGCTCTGCCTTCCAGCTTTCCATGATTCTCCTTCCAAAACCAACAGCCTAGTGCTCATCAGCCAGGTCAGGCTGAGTAGCACCTGAGGGAGCTTCCTGGACTGTGGTCCTGTGGGTTGAACAGTGCACATTGGTACCATCTGCTGCTCAGAATCAGTGGTAATACATGTTGCACCGATCATCAGGACTGGTACATTTGTTGCCCTTTTGAAAAACAGCAACCATCTAACCAGCAACCTTCACACACGCATGAGGACCTAAACTGTAACTGGTATTCTTGGCTACGCTTTCATATTAACACTTGGAGCAATTGCTTGTGCAACACTGACACAATACAGGCCGCTGTTTGGCAAGCCCTTGCTGGCTATATGGTACACTAGTTTTTATTCTACTTCAGATTTTAGTATTTTTTAGCACAATAGTCCGAATAGCAAGACGCCTCAGAAGTGCCTCTGGTGGAAAAGAGGTGCTAATCAAATACATTCACTAGCTGTAACGGCTCCTCAACATCTTGCCTAGTTCACTGCAAAGGGTGGGGGTGCCAGATCTGACTGGGAGCTTTGCTACCTTCATCTCCCAACACGTCCAACAGTCAATGGGGGGACACTTTCTGTCTGAGGTCAAGTAGAGTTTTTGCTCCGTCTTCATGTTTGGAGGTAATTCTGCATGGGAAACTTCCTGAGACTTCTTATTAAATCTGCAACCTTTTTCTCAGGATTGTCTCCAGGTGCAAAACCTGGAACCAAGTAAGCGATCAGTGCCTTATGCATCTAAATATCTCCTCCACATAACTGCATCTGTCTGCCAATGCTGGATAAGTGCTCTGCATATTTCAGAGCCCTGAATCATCTCCAGATGTTGGGTCCACACATCCATGCACTACAAATACTCAGCTCAGCACCAGGCTTTTACTGGTCTTGGAGAAGCTCCACCAAAGAAAATGACAGAGCGTCAGTCTTCCAACCCAGATTTGTCTGTGTTCATCATGGCTGAATTTGACTAAGCTGGGTATGTACTTTGCTGTAGTTGAACCAAGCCAAACTGTTCATATATGTAAATGAGGGTGAGAGTTGGCTCTGCCCACCTGTGTCTGTGACCTCAAGAATGGTGAGCTGACATTGCAGGACCTCTCGAACCTCAGTGCGTCCTCACCGCGGCACTCGATCTTCACATCCGACTGGTCCTGTGGGATTCACGGGTGTAGAAGAATGTGTGAAAGTACTTTTGGCTGACCAATGAGATGAAGTTAAATTAATGTGACAGCTCAGTCACAAGTCAAATGACTATTAAATGGATTTGTAGCCAGTAGTCAGCGGTACTGTTTACCACCACTCAAAACATGCATTTGCATGGGGCCCCTGAGGTTTGGGAGCCCCCTGTTGGTCAGAAATGACACTGGGGGGGGGGAACAACAAATCTGCTCTTCTCTGTGGAGTCTTAAGGCTCATTTATACTTCTACGTTGAGCCCACACAGATCTTTGGCCATGGCCTACGCAAGTGGCCTACACCATTGCGAGCATTTATACTTGTGTGCTGGTGTGTCTGTGTTGTCTGCAACTGCACTGCCAAAACACTAGTCGGCTGCGTGCAGTAGCTTCTCTGTCATAGGAAAGAAAAACTTGGCAAGCATTACAATTCTAATGATTGTTCCTTTTCAAGATTATCTAGTATACATATAAAGATCAGTTTAAAGTTTGCCGGCACTGTTTCTGCATGGGCTCTATATCTGCGTTCTCCAAGACAACCGTAATCCTTTTCATCTATGCTGTTTAAATCACACATAAATGGATATGTGAGAAATTTATTTATTTTGAACTCCTTTTTTGCTTTATAAATATTGCAATATTTATAGCAAAAAAAAATCACATCGGATTACCTGAAATTTCCCAATATCACGCAGCCCTAGCGTGAACAGTGTGAACGGCTGCAACCATAGCAAAAACAGCAGGCTAGCAACAAGCTAAACACAACTTGTTCCACACTAAAATCCCCAAACAAACAACATCAAAACATTCGCACAGGAGGTAGTGTGATGCTACCAATTATAGTTATTGTGGTCTGTGTCGCCATAACATGTAGTTACATTGCTGGGAAGGTGTGACTATGGTGTATGATACAGTGTAGGGTACAGAATCTACAAAGTAGTATAAATCAGCAGGAGTGTAGACCTTGTAATAGAACAAAGTGCAGATATATATATGCACAAAACACACACACTTCTCTAAGCATCTCACCTTGACCATAAGGCTGGAGAAGTACAGGTTGGATGTATGTGAGATGTTCAGACGGGTGTTGAAGGCGTTCTCGCCGCGGTTCTCCAGCTGCCCTTCCACCACCATCCTCCGGCGGGAACCTTCCACCACGCGTTCCCACGCCTCAGCCACCACGGGTCCCTTGCAAAAGGCCCCCACCGAGGCCACAGCTTGCCCACAGAATTGCCTGCCAGGGGTGAACGTAAACGTTTCACTTTTGGCACGCTGATTGATATTGCAGAAGTAGGAGGTAATCGCCGACCTACAATTCTGATTCCCGCTCGCCTTCATTCATCGTTGGGACTGTTTGTTTATCAATCTAGAGGCAGGAGGTCCCCATCGATGCAGAAAGTGTGCAAAAGTTCGTAACAATCACACCTCCCCAATGCTAACATAGAAACTGGACTCCTGGAGTACATCTCTTAAACTGGTGCACGAGTGGGATTGAGCTGCTACTCGGATGGTGATTCTGAAACTTCAGAGAGATGCTGCAGAGCTCTGAAGCTCACAGGCCAAGATGTGTGCACTGGTCCCGTTTACTAACAACAGAGTGTATGTCTTTAGCATATTATATACTTTGAAACTAATGTCCAGTATAGATAATGCATAGGTTGGAACAAACAGTTTCTTATTTTCAAGATTCTGTTATGGCACGGCCTGGCACATGTGGGAAAGTACCAAGAAAAAAGTGGTTTATTAAGGAAATTAACAACACTGGGGAAGACACAAAATAAATGGCCGCATGGTATCAGAAAAAAAACAACTATGGGAAAAACAAGAATGAAATACAAGAACGCAACAAAGAAACTGGGAGACATTGGGAGCAGCACCAGGAAACTGAACAGAGTGACAAACACGCAGTGACTAGACACAAAACTGAGTAACAAAGAGAGTGGGGGCAGGCACTTAAATACACACAGGGAATCAGCGCAAACAAGGGACAGGTATAAATCATAATCATAACCAATCAGAAGGACTCGGGTCAACAAGGAGCAGGTGGGGTGGATTACAATTAACAAGCACTAGAACCGGGAAACATTAACAAATACTAAAGGTTAACAACACCAAAAAACACTAGGAACATCAGTGCATGCAGAACAATAAAACAAGGCACGAGCAGGATAAACCAAAACAGGGACAGAAAGATAAATAATAACAGACACTAAGAAACAGAATAGGGAAAGAAACAGAGGGTATAGCCTCCAAACCACAAGCTCAGCCTATTAAGCTACACAGCAACTTGGGGAACAGAGAGACATATTAGGGCTAAGGGGCTACAAGACAGAGGAGGGAACAGGATGGCCAGCGACACCTACAGGCCAAACGGGGACAAAACACATAGGACAGGGACGAACAGGTGCCGACCCTGACAGATTCTTTTGAGTCTCAGTTCATCTGCATGATGATGGATAGATGGATGAATGGATGGATTAGATAGATAGGACTATAAAAATCTTGCAGAATTGTTTTGCAATTGAAAATTTGTATAAGAACAATGCACTAAGTGCACAAGAAAAAGAAGAAAAACAAGGAACTACTTTACGGGAAGCTGTTCCTCACAGTATGTTTATGTGTATGTCATTGTGCATGTTTGTATTTCTGGTGACAGGAGACATACCTACGGTCCAGGAGGTCAGAGTGAGCTGTCAGGACCAGGTCGGAAACACAGAAGTCGTCATCTTCACATCCATTCCAGAAAGGCAGCTAGTGGGGTGGGGGGGCGCCAACACAGTGAGCACTACTCCATCATGAACATCCCTCCACAAGCATAAAGACTCCTCTCCTACTTCAGAGTAATGGCTGGAGATTATGCAGTCGTGGTCTGAACTACAGGAGGAAGAACATATGATGTGAAAGACAGAAGAGTGTGTGCAGAATGCTGCTGACCTCTGCCCTCAATGTGGTTGGCCAGCTGTCGTCTAACACAGGACCTTCAAAAGGATCTTGAAGGTTTACCTCCACTGAGAAGATTACAGGCTGAACATAGTCTGTAGTCTCCTGAAATAAGGAGAATGCCTCAATTAAACACACCAAAGCATGACCACAACGTAGGAAGAGAGTTTCACATGACTCCAACGTCCCACTACTTAGATGCATATTGAGAGGCAAAAACGAAACCAAAATAATTGTTTATTTCAATAGCTCAAATGGTCAGTAATTGCATCGTTATGCCAACAGCCTGGTGTGGTGCATGGCTCAGTAGGTTGAGACAGCTTAAAGTCAGAAGGTCACCAGTTCAAATCCCAGACTTGACAGTGTGATGTCACTGTTGGGCTCCTGAGCAAGGCCCTTAACCCTAATTGCTCCAGGGACTGTCTGACCCTTTTAAGTGCACGTACATGTCTGCTAAATAAATGTAATTGGGCACTACTCTATGTAAGTGTGCTAATGGGCGGTTCTGCCAAACCCACCATGACATGGAAGTAAACATGCTCACAGGACGAATCTCCAAGCAGCAGGACGGCATCCCGCGGATTCCTCTCGCTGTCGTCCAGCACGGCTCTGGCAGCGTACCGCCGCTCGTCTATGAAGGCGCTGTAGGACACGGCTGCAGGGCAAGGCACACATTGTTTCGACGATTAGCCGTCACCTGGACGAGTATCACTGAAGAGACAGCAGCCACGTGGCTGATGGTGCAGCGTTAACCCTGAATGCTGCATTTTCCTTGGAAACAAGCTGATGGACCTGCCTGGGCAGGGGAAATTAATTCATGATTTTATGATTTTTTAATTAATTAACATTTGCCCTCCTTGATACACAGTCCCTCAAACTAATATCTTCATTAGAATGAAGCCCATCCTTCATCATTCAATCAATTTCTCAATCAATAATTATCAGTTAATAACCCCACCCCCCCCATACACACACACACCCCCACCAATCAGCTGAGGAAACACAAACTGCGATGACGGAATGCTGTATTGCATCTGGTGATTTTTCCTTTAGCAAATACATAACTTTTGGCAAGAAATTATATAGCAGGGTTTAAAAGGTCATTCAGAAGTGAAAGCCATTTCCCATTTAGTAGAGTGATAGTAATTAATGGGGTCTGGTCTGCACAGATGAAATCCAGGCCGAGCAGAGTGTGAGGGTCAGAGTTTATCTGCATAAGGAAATGAAATCAAAATCGAATGAACGGCTTTCAGTTCCTGAGGAGTAAAGGTCTCCTTTGTAAAACTATCATCTGGTCACAGTAAATCCATGACTTTGTCACATCTGATGGGACAGAGGTGACAGTGGGAGCATGGCTGATGCTGAGGTCATCATCAGCTCTTCTCCCCAAAGCTCTTGAAGCTATGAAATTATAAAGAGGGTCATTCCCAAGCATTCCATGACCAAATTCATTATTGCTGGACGGAAGTGACACAATGTCAGAAATACACCAAAAGATGCAACTAAAATAACTCTGATCTAACTGTTATCTAGATGATTGCTGTTAATATGAGTTTTGGTTTCATGAGCTAAATGAGACAAAGGTGCAAACAGTGCAAAAGTAAGTGCCCCCTAGGGGAGGTTGGCAGGTGCAAGACTGACCCACTTCCTGTGTCGGCGGGATTGGGGTCCTCGCGGTGGCATTCAGGCACACCATGGCAGACATGCAGGTGACATCCTTGCCCCCCCTGCGGCAGTCCTTGTTGAACACGTTTATCTTCCTTGGCTCAAACCACACCTCAATGTGGATACGGACGACACTGCGGGACCTGGGGAGAGACCACGGCAAAGGTATAGTGTAAACGAATGGGGAAAATGCATCGTGTAAACGAATGGGGAAAATGCATCATGTAAACGAATGGGGAAAATGCATAGCCTAACGTCTAAACAAATGTAAGTCAATCATTCATTTGTGACCCTGAAACAGACTACAGTAATTACTATTGCTAAGAAGAATCACTTATTAATCATTGGGGGGGTGTTTGGCTCAGCAGGCTGAGATAATGATTCTGTGAACAGAAGGATGCCACTTTGAATCCCAGGATCGTCAGACTGACCCTTAACCCCTAATTGCAAAGATTGACTGACCCTGCTTTGAATGAAAGCATCTGCATGATAAATGCAAAACATTAATTATTCATTTAGAAAGTCTCTTTATTTAAATTATTTGTGAGGTTCACTGATATTGAGGTAGAAAGTAGAGCAGGAACATCTGGCAAAGAGCTGATGGAAGAGGAGAGCTGGTTAAACAATGAAGGAGGGGACAGAGAAAAGCCAAATAAGGGCATGAGGGTATGACAACACACCAGAGGAGCACGGCGGCCCCCAGGGAGCCCACCGCCAGGTCCACCAGCCCATCCTCATTGAGGTCCAGCCGCCCATGGACGCTGCGGCCAAAGTAGTGTAACCCGAGAGAGAGTGTGGCGGCGGCGATCCTCTGGCGGACAGAGACAGCATTTATCACACTGACATTCCGGAAATGTCTTACCAGAGCTCCACAACAATAATCTTCATGTACTCTGAACAACAACCCTTATTTAGCAGAACCACAGAAAGATTTTTTTCCATGCTCTACCTGTTTATATTTTTGCTGTATTTTGCCTTGCTGGCCATAAAATACGTAGATGGCCCCCTTGTGGTCGTCCTCCAGAGGTGCGCCAACAACCAATTCACTGTAGCCGTCGCCGTTGAGGTCGGGAACGGGGGCCAGGGCAGAGCCAAAGCGCGAATTCTGCCCCTTTTCGGAACCTTCTAGCACACCCTCGAGGGCGAATTCACTCTATAAAAAAAGGTATTAAGTTTGAGGAAAGGCATGCGAGATTTGATAGAAAACTCGGCTCCTGGATGCCTGGGAAATGCGTCTGGCAACATGAGCGCTAGCGAGAGGCCTGCATCCAGGCAGTAATGCCTTCAGACACTCAGAATGACTGCTGTACATGGAAAGAATGCAAAACAAAGGCAAGAGCAGAAAATCTCTAGCGTGTAAAAGTAAGTGTACTTCATCATTCTCTTAAAAGAAAAGTCCTGCCCGTTACCGTGCTGACCGAAAAACGAGTCTGTAAAACAAAGGCGACAATCTGCTGCCAAATCTTCTGAGTGAACTGCAATCTGAAGAGCGGGGCGGAGATGGAGCAGTGAGCCAGCGCTGCGTTTCACACGCTGCTCTTTGGGGGAGGGGGCTCGGCTGCACACCCTGTGATAAGGCTTTTAATGGTTCAGATGTAAGGCCACTGGGAATTATGTCCCTGAAAGCAGCAGATCTTACAATCTGGGGTATTTGTGTAAATAATGAATAATGAAAGCCAGGAGCTCCCTGTGTTGGGATCCATTCATCCACCTTGGGATCTGAGCTCTCTGCTGAAGCACATCGTGATGCTGAGTGTGTCTGTCACAAAGGGCCGGGCCAGCAGGGTGACACTGCCCCTTTTTCGGGTAAGTGACATACTGCATGCTCAGTGTCACGAGGCAGACATCTGCACAGCTATTAAGGACATCCCAGGTGTTTGTGACACGTATCAGAGCCCTATGTATGTTCTTGCTGGACCTACCAAAATCTTCTGTGTGTTTCTATGTGGCCTATCAGACTCTTGTGTGTTTGACTACAGGCCCTATCAGAGCCTTCTCTGTGTTTCTATGTGGCCTATCACAGCCTCTGTGTGCTCCTGCGGGACCTATCAGAGCCTTGTGTCTTGATACAGGGCCTCTACTAAGACTCTTTCAGTTCCTGCCCATCATATGCATGTACACTCACCTCCTCCGTCACACGGTAGACAGCCACCCTGCCCCTCTCCCAGCCACCACTGAAGTACATGGGAGCAGCCACTAGGAGGTTGTCAGTGATGCCGTCCTCATCGATATCCAGCGGGGCAATCTCGCTTCCGTAGTAGGAGCCGATCTGGAAAAGTCACACGGTACACATCACATATGGGACCTGAATTAAATATCACCTGTACCATTACATAATATATATGTGGGGTGAGGCCCACTGGGTTAGAATGGTGTGTCTGTGATCAGGTGACCAGTTCAAATCCCAGTCTTGGCAGAGTGATTTCACCATTGGGCCCTGAGCAAGGCCCCCAACTGCTCCTGATGCTGCTCTTGGGATTTGAATCAGCATCCTTCTGATCTCATACATGGCATCTGAACCCACTGAGCCACACAGCAGCCAGTGACACCCTGTCTCACATAGCAGTTATTAGGGGTTCACTGCTGCAAGCGGGACTAAAGGATAAAACTGCAGGTGAAAGCTGACATCCCAGTGGAGCAGCTGCAGTTGTACCTTTGGGAGGTGCTCTTAATCTGAAGAGCTCTGGGAAAACAGGAAGTTTAAAACGTCACGCTTCGGAAACTGCCTTGGAATGGAAGGCGGTACTGAATACATTCGTTTAATTAGCTTAGCAGGATGCATGAGGAGCAGGAAGCCATGCCAGACGCACCTGGCTGTGAAGCACAGGGGTCTACGCTGGGCCTACAGCTCGTAAAGAGGCATTGAAAGGTCCTCGGAACGCGCTGCGGAATGCCGCTTTGGCGCTGTCCTTGGGGGGAGTGGTCGTACTTTCCCAAGTGTCTGTGTGTGACGTACGGTGATACCTGCTGCCCCTTGAGCGAATGCAGGATGGTGAGGTTGCCGTTGTTCTTCAGGGTGAAGATAATGACCTTCCCGGTGTGGTTGAAGCGAGGAGCCCCAGCCACGTAGAGCCGGCCGGACCTGGAGGCCACCACCGAGGTCACCGTGTAGCCTGAGAGGGACACACACACGCACATGCACGCTCACGTGATGCTGCACCAGCGGGGGCAAGCATCTATACAGGGATCTTAATGTCCTACTCTATGTGGAGAGGAGAGAGTTAGAACGGTGATGTCATATGACCTTTCCCTCATTCTGCTGCTGGTCTCACCAAGTCTGCTATGTAATGGCAAAAACGTGCCATTTTAATAAGGTGCTCTGATGTCATGCAAAAGCAGGCCAGCAAAACAGGAAAAGTGTTCCCATTAAAGGGGGCTGGCAGACACCCCCAGCTGCACTCTGTGGCCTCTAACCACCCCATTGTGCATCGACTGCCACCATCACAGGCTGCTGCCCCTCCCCCCCCCCAAATCGTGACATCTCAATTATCTCACTCTCTCAAATGAAATAAAATCTAAATTGTTTATGTTTGCACAATAACTACCCAAGGCTTCTGCTGTTAAAGTCATCAATTAAAACAGCTCAGCGCATTTAAAAGTAAGAATAACAAAGGATATTTTGTGATGCTGCTCCTCCTTTTGCCGAATGCTCCTTGACGCCGGCACACTTAGGAGTGTCTTCAGTGTTTTCCCCTTGTGAGGGTCAGGGAGGTATACAGGGGAGAAGTCACAAGGACACTGGTTCCAGCTGAAGCTGATTGGCCCTCAGAATACCCTCTCTCCCGTCACTCGTCGATTCAAGACATATCATTGGCTAATGATAAGGCCGGCCCCTCTGTATAACCGGTGGTGTTGGCCAAATACTTCATGGTCTTATCTGTGAGTGTCTCCTTCTAGGATGACACAGGTCACTGGAAAGGCCACCTCACCCAGATATGCGCCGTGGTTCTTCAGCTCCTCCGGGAACTCCTCCAAGTACGAGGACTTGGGCGGGATGACCTTTCCCTGGCGGGTCTCCTTCAGGACCGCCCCGTTCCAGTCGTATGCCCCCACAGCTCCCACCAGGATCCCGTCCTGCCAAAACCAGTCACGCGTCGGTCCACACTATACAGAATCTGCACCGTCAATCCTCAGACCACGCCGAGGTTTCAGGGCCCCCTGTTGGCTACAAACAGTTATTACACTAGGGAGTCCCCAAAATGACTTTAAGAGTGGGACCCTACAAACACTAAACCCACCCTCTGCTCACACCTCATCACTCACTATTCTCCCTCCTCCTTCAGTAACCTGCCTTAGTCTTCACCTGAGTCATTTCACATATTCCTGATCAAGTCCTGGCCGTCACACCTGAAGTTTCTCCCCCTCATGTAAACATAGCACTTGCTCCATCTACTGACCTGCCCCTATGCGCGATGCTTTGAGCTTTCATAGTTTAGTTTCGACCCTGTCCAGCCACCAACAATCTTTTATAAGGAGCCACTCTTTGTGATAGTCAATAAAAGAAACAAAAATAGACTAAGCATTCCAACATGTTTCATTCTAGCTCTGCAAAACAGCTTTTAAAGCCTTGGGTCATTTCAATGGGTAATGAAGAGAGCCTTGGTAGATTTTCCACAATGCCCCATGTTTAATGAGTGCCACAGGCATACATAAACACCCCCCCCCCCCCCCACACACACACACACACACCCTGCAATTTCACTTTGCGTACCTGAGCCTTTCGGTAAACCCCTCCCCTACATAAGCAGCCCTACGTATGAGACCATGCTGAAGGTGCAGGACAGAGCTTCACACCATCCCAGTGATCAGCAGCGTGTCATAAATAAAGTATGTCACACTTTCAAAAGCTAGACTGACAGTTCTTGGAAATCTTCTTTAAAATGGACTTCGCCTGGTCCCAGTCAGCTCAGTCAGCTCCAGGAAACTCTGAGCTCTGTTTGGACTTGCGGTCATCAGCCAATAGCTTAACACCTTAGTCCCTGTGTGAGACGACTAGTTCTGCATGGCCTTTTGGGTAATTAAGTCCAGAAAACCACTTTCTCCTGTCGTAACTAAGAACAACAGATGAGAACAGAACAGAAAATGCTGTAGCCAACTGACATCTTCTTGTTTTTAGGCTCCGAAGGCCTTCAGTCCATTTACCATGTGTGCATTACAATGTCAACATTGTCCACTGATCCCAGCTCAGTGAAGAACTTTGCACTTCTATTTGCCGCGGTTTTTCTCCTACAGTTGAAATGTGAACTCACGTCCTCTGAGAGATGTTCCATTGGCCACAGAGCCATTTTTTATTAAAGCCCCTCTCTCGTCCTTCTCCGCGTGGTCAGAGCTGAGACCTGGCCTTTGGATTGGGAGGGCTGAATCGGGGAAAGCTGGCGGGGTGCAGTGCAGTGCAGTGCTTGCCACCAGACAGACTTTCCCACTGCAAGCTGTCCAGAGGCAGTAAAGAACTGAGACAGACGTCTCCCAAAGAAATGCAGAAATCAGTCTCAGGTGGCAGATAGCTACTCTGTGAACATTACTAAAGAGACTTAGCAGATGCACCGTCCAGTTAGAAAGCCTTCTTTTCTACTCGGCGGCCTGCATTCAGTGGAACCTGGGGGACAGCTACTCCCCCCAGAAGCTCTAAAGAACTTTCCAAGACTTCATCTGTCTCTCAGTTCTCAAATGGCATTCGTTAAGCAAGTGGCTTCGCCGGAGCTCAAAAATGTAAAGTATGAGATTTCCAAATTTCCCAGCAAGCATCTGCTTTTCATATATTTATTTACGTTCTTAAATGGAGGGGATATATCTTCCTCCAGAGGCAGCTCATCCTCAAATGTAACGTGAATCAGCGGCTGTGACTCAGCTCTAAATGATTCTCAATGATTACAAACAAGTACCGTGGACTTGCGGATCCGGGAGATCAAAACACAGACACATCCTTCAAGATTCCCTACCACAGAGACACGGGGATGAGTGGTGAGTGGTATATGGTATACGGTGGTTCGTCAGTTAGTAGAGCTTAAATGGAATCGCTTCTGTAAAATTATACGACTGTGTAAATACGGTAAAATGCGCTAATTCCTAGCTCAAGTCCCTAACCACACATTTTTTAAGGCTATTGAAAGTATTTAAATGGCTTTAGCTATGCAGTCCACTAAATGAGAAAATGCAATTTGTACTAAATGTAAGATCTGCCATAATTGTCTTTGGAGATGTCACCTCCATTCAAGTGATGAGGGACTGTTATTTGGGGCTGTAGTACAAGCATACCCCCCCCCCCCCCCCCCCCAGCCCTGCTGGGATGGACCATGACACGCCACTCTCATTTCTGGAAAAGGGACTGGAAAACTGGTCTCAACAGTGCAAGTGGAAAAGGAGCGTTAAATCAAGATGACCTCAGTTCCCAGAAGCACATGGGGGGAGCAGGGAGATGAGGTGAAGGAAATTGGTGATGCTCACCTCCACAATGTGAGAAGAGAAACCAGCTTGAGACATCTGGAGACCAAACGACGTTTCGTTCTTGTTGGTCCCTATGAACACAAACAGCATGGTAAAGTGAGCATAAATGAACACATACACACACAGGCAGAAAGACAGCGGGTTCGACTTAGGAGTCTGTCAAATAAGCCGAGGCTGCAACAAGCTGCAGTTCCATGTTCAATAAGATGAATTGCTGTTGTACCCTTGCCTGAGCCAATGGGAGCAGTAAGGAAGGACCTGCAGGACTCCAAGGTCTGGCCTCGTACCTTCTAAGCTGAAGATTCGCTCGCCCAGTGCATCCACGATGTCCTTCAGTGCAGACTCATCCTTTACGTTGAAGAAGTGCTTATCATCAGGGTCACTAGCGATATACTTGATCTCCCTCAGGAAGGCCTCAGGATTGATGCCACGTCGGTTGTAATAGCCCAGAACCTGGGGGTCAAAGAGGTCGGCAGTCACACACACCTCTTGCATTACAGGGTGGCAACTCCATCGATGTGTTGAGCAAGAAAGTTGCATTTAGGCTGGTAAAAGAGTGTATCCAGACCAGTGCCAGTCAACTCATTAGCCAACACTGGTCACCTCCTACCGCATCAACGTAGCAAGCTAATTTCACTTTCGGTGCCAGTGTAGAAGCTTGCCTAGGTCACCACATGGCCTTCGAAAGTATTGGTACTGAATAAAGTCAGTTGCTACTCTGCATCAACGTAGCAAGCTAATTTCACTTTCGGTGCCAGTGTAGAAGCTTGCCTAGGTCACCACATGGCCTTCGAAAGTATTGGTACTGAATAAAGTCAGTTGCTACTCTGCAGCAAGTTGTAGCACTACGAGAAAAGAGATAAGAGCTAAGAAAGGTACCCACCGCAATGGCATACCGCGTGATGTCATCCTTTTCACTGGCCTCGATGACCTTCTGCAGGTCAGGGCTGTCATGTGACTCCCCATCTGTGATCACAATCATCACCTTCTTGGCACCACGGCGACCACCTCGCTTAAAAGCCTGTGACCTGTGGACACCAAATAAATACAAATCATTGCCAGATTCTTCCGTAAGAGTCCTCAATCAAATCTAAGCCTACATCCAACCTCCAAAGCATATGGGAAGAAAGTTTCAAAAAATGGGCTTAGCATCCATAGACAGGTGAGGCAGGGAGGTCAGACACTTGAAAAATGAAGCTCCGTTACTCTGTACCAGAGGATGGTCTAACATGCTGGCCGTACCGTGCCATGTTGATGCCGAGTGCGGTCCGCGTCTCCTCGCCTCCACGCTGCTCAATGTTGCGTGCAGCCCTCACCACCTCTTCCACGGAACGGTACTCGTTGAGGTGGAACTCATGCACCACCTTCTCTCCATACTGCACCACCCCCACCTGGAAGCAGAAGTCAATAGTGGCGTTTCCATTTACCAATATTTTGTATATTTTGTGCAAGATGCAAACTGAAAAGCCATTCATGGAAACACTCGAATTTGAAATATACCCTCGAATAACTCGAATAAAGTTTTTACGTTCGTTTGAAGTAGTTTTTCTTGGCGAGTTGAAAAAGGAAAATTTAAAAAAACAATAATGGAAAGAATCTGCAAATTAGATGTTACGCAGGACATGATAATTAGTTCTGCTAGAGCTGCTAATTTGACATGGATCTTAATCTCACGGGATGATGGAGAGTATTATTCATATGATATCCATTAATGGAAACACACCTTACTCGCAATTTCACTCTGCTTAAAATTTGCACAAAACCTTAATGAAAGCCTAGCTAGTGACAGCATACTGTTGCTTTGTCTTTCTCTCACACACACACATAGTACCCAGACATACACATTAACAACAAACCTGTATTTGGCCGGGCCCAATGTAGAATTTCTGCAGGATGTTGATGAGAAAGTTCTGCACCTCGTACCATGGGTAGATAGAGTTGGATCCATCCAGAACAATAACGATGTCCATGTAGGTTTCACATCCTTTCAAAAACAAAGCGGATGAGCCCCACGCCATGTGTCAGAATTTCCACCGGTAGGTAGAATGAGGCAAATAACCAAACCACAAGTGAACGAGGCCTGCAAACCACAGACGTGAAACCGTCATCGCTGGAGTGCAGAGCGTGGCAGAGCGTGGCAGAGCGTGCCGTGTCCTTACTCTGGAAGGCTGGGGCTATGGTGCGAGAGAACTTGAAACTGCCGTTGACCCTCGAGCAAATGCCCGTGCTGTAGTAGGAGCTGCCACACTCATAAGACCACAAGGGCCCACATGCCTAGAAAACAGGAAGACATTAATACAAACAGCTGTGCACACAAGTATGCACCAGTACTGGCTTACAAGGCACACTGATCCAACTTCCAGGACCAGTATAGGCTCAAAACTGAGATTCTACAGTTAATATTCATCTCGGAGGTAGGTCTCGAACGCACCACAAAGGTGTTGTCCTTCGGGTTGGAGGCCAGTGTCATACCAAGCCGCATCTTGTCCTTGCGCTCGGACACATTGGTAAGGGAAACCCTTCCTGGTGGATGCGATTGGGGAGTGGGTTTGGAGTCAAGAACAGACAACAAAACAAACAGCTACCGATGCCTGTTGGTTTGTCCGTGAGCAGAGATAACTACCATGATTTGGGACTTTGGGATTCTTGAAAGTCGTGACTAACAGCTAGGGTGACCAGATAATCCATGTCAGGGAGGACGCTCTGGGCTAGGACAGGAATTGTAAATTACCATTTCAATTAAACGGACCTGGATTTCACTTGAGCACCAAGTTTTTGCTGTGTGCTGATTGGTCAGTCTCCTATAATCATGCATGTGTCACTAATGCTAATGTGAAACAGCTGGATGAGTCTTTCGGTCAAGGAAACAAACCAGTCAAAGCACAAGAAGAGCTGAACTATTTAGCCGAGCGCAGGAGCCTTTCAGTTTGAAAGTAGTTTGTAAAACCCGAAGTAGCTCAAAGTGTCCTCCCTGACATGGATTATCTGGTCACAATACTAACAGCTTACAGAAAATTCGGAGGCAGCGGTGTCTGCTCTCCATGAAAATCCCTGCACCCCAAACGGAACTTCCCATCGGAAATGAAATCAGCACAGAAACGGGGAAGGCGGGCACCTAAGTTGAGCCTCGTGCAGCTGCTGTTGGAGCCCTCATCCACGGCGCACTTGTAGACATCCCCGGTCTGGTGCTGGCCGCTGGTCTCAAAGGGGGCCCCCACCAGCAACCTGGCCATGCAGTGGGGGAGTGAAACACCATTTCTTAGTGGTGCCCTGATGTGGAAGTTGTGGCCAACACTGATAACCGCTACTGATAACCAGCTAAACTCTGAGCTCCACAAATCTGTAGTGAAGCTGATGTCCATGACATTACTTCTTAAGATCAGTGGGACCTCGGTGAAGTAGAGCCAACTTGGGAGCCTGTAACGAGGTTCTAAATGGTGAACGAGCCAACAAAGTCCCTAGTCCTACATTACAGAACATGCCTGATCGCCCAATGCAGTCATCTCCATTATTTTAGTAGTTATGTCTTTAGCTCTGCTGCTGCTAACTTTAAATATTGACTAATGTCTAAGTATTGGTCAGCACTAAGACTGACGCATCAGACCGATGACGATATCTTGATTATTAATGAACATTGGCTGGTATTGATGTAGAAACCTGCATCATGTCACTATCAACAGCTCTTCATTGCAGTCAAGAGTGCTTCATAAAAGAAGAAAGACACCTTCCTCCCATGCAAGTAACCTCTGGTTTAGACAGCAGCATGAGGAACTGCAGTCTCTGAGATGCACAACACATGCAGCTTTGTCAGAATACCCCGGGGATACCCAGTGAGGCAGCTCCGTGATGAAAATATGCCGTTAAACACGTCAGAGGTGAGGCAAAAGAAAATCCAGGAATACCCCCCAAAGACTTCCACATGACTTTTATAATGTACACATGTGAAAAAAGCATGAGGAAAGAAAAACAGTATGAAGAAAAATGGAGGCGAGGTGGAAAAATTTCAAGGTATTTAAGCAACTGAAAAAAACCACAGGTTTAAGAATTTCATTCAGCTGCTGTAACACAGAGCGCGTGTGAGACAACCGCTTGCAGGTGGGCCTGGCGTTGGGGGGTGTGCACTCAGAGGACCACTGGCAACTGAACCTGGTCATCAAAAGTTAGAACTTCACTTCAGGTATTATTACTATGGCATGTTGGCCTCACTCCACTAGGGGTTGTGGGTTCAAATCCCACCTCTGTTCTGTGTGTATGGAGTTTGCATGTAGGGCATTTGAGAAACCTATAAAGCCAATTTGGATGGATTATGCTACAGACTTTGGATGCCGTCTGAATCAGGTACACACTCTGCTAAAGTGAAATTGAACAGGATATAGGACCTGGCTGATTTGAGCATGGCTGATCACTGCACTATAACACTGGAAAGGATCAGACTCTCCTCCTTAGTAATCAGGCCAAATAGTTGCATTGTCCCTCCCCAGCACTCAGAACGTCCTGCTAACAGATGGAGACACATGCCAAGCCAGCTGGGCCTCGCCAATCACAGCATCTGCCACTACCCTTTCAGCCAGAGGTGGACAGTTCAGGTCCATAAAGTAAAAATCCAGACCATGATTTTGTTTCAACCAACCAGTTAAGTATAGAACATAAGCCACGGAGTACTCAAAGTATAAAGCATTACAGCCACGGAGTACTCAACTGATTGGTTGAAACAAAACCTCGGTCTGGATTTTTACTTTATGGACCTGAAATATCCACCTCTGCTTTCAGTAGACGGTTCTCACTTGACAGATAAACGACATTCACAGTCACAGGTAAAGTTACCCCTTCTGTGCAGATGCCAGGCCGAATTCCACACGGCATGATCACAGAGAGGAACACAAATCTCACAGAGACACCATCTGTGAAAGACACCCATCTCATGCATAGTTTAAAGGTGGCCACATTGCACAGGTCAGCTTACATCCTGTCTGTCTATGAGCAGCAGCTGTTAACTAAGCCATTCAGTCTTTAGCTGGCAGAGACCGTAACCCTGCAGTGTATTTAGTTTGAGGTGCTTTGAGCTGTGATGGTGCTTTTGGGGGCATCGACGTTTGGCTTTAAAGGCTGTCCAGACCAAACAGTGTGGGATGGAATCCGAACACCTGCATTTTGTTAACATATTTCCGAGCACGTGTAACCACTAATTGGGACCTGGTCTCTGCACACAAATCAGGCGATTAAACAATTAACTTAACAGATGAAGTTTATAGAAGAGCAGTAGCATTGCCAGAAAATTTGACGAAATCTACGGACCTATACGAAAAAAAGGAAAAGGAAAACTTCACAAAAAACACATTATAAAACCCATTAAAACATCTGATGTCAATTATTCATAGTCCACTGAGGATGGGGGTGGGGGGGGGGGGGCAGGTTTTCAGTACAGCTTAGCTTTTAACTGCGAGGCAAAGCTTTCATGAAGCTCTAAGTTCACCTGGTGATCCAGACATAAGCCAGCTTCTAGCACTAAGATAAGGCTAAAAGCCAGTGGCCCCATCAAAGAGGTTTCCCAGCCCTTATCGGCAGCATTCAAAAAGGAATTTTATGCAGGCAACCATCGCCTGGAGAAAGAGTGCAGCTTACTGCTAGGCACGTTAGCAATGGATCCCCGCTAACATGCTTTAATGAGGGCCTCGTTAATGCAAGGCCTGTTAATTGGATGCTTGTCGAGGGCAAATGCAGGCACCTCCACTGGACAGCCACACGTGGCAAATTGGGAAGACTGAGGCCCAGACAGGAAAGGAAAGAGAGAGAGAGAGAAACAGAAAGAGTGACAGGGAGAAAGAAAAAGGGAGAAACAGAGACAGACAGAAAGAGAAACAGAGTGACAGAGAAAGCGAGAGAGAAAGAGAGAGAAACAGAAAGAGAGAGAAAGAGGAAAACCGAGAGAGAAATGGAGAAGAAGTGAGACTAAGAGAGACAGAATGAAAGAGCAAACAGTTTTTTTCTGGGTTTGGTGTGTTTGACTAAACACATAATGCTCTGAATTATAAACAATGTAATTCTATCCTGATTTTAAATGCCTCTGCATTTTTGTTTTATACTAAACTAATATTGACTACCATCCCATCCAGGCTGTTCCATGCCCTGTGCCCTGTGCCCTGTGTTGCCTGGGAATAGACTGGGAATAGACTGGGAATAGACTGGGAATAGGTGGTTAGAAGATGGATGGATGATATTAACTTATTCAATTTGTTTCTAACAGTTTGATAATAAGAGATTCAGGTCCAGTATTTGACAGTTTATAGGACATATGGAAGTGCTGGTAGCAGACGAGACATTAACTGCTGGTCTCTGCTCTAAATGAGCCAGGGGAGCAGCGCCGTTTGTCACAGGCAGCTGGCTGCTGCACAGATCTGTCAGCCACGTAGCTGCCCCTGTGCTCCATGCATCATCCTTCCAGGTCCTGCTAAAATGCTCCCGTTCAGCACAGAAATGCTCCTTTGTCACAAATGCATACATTTTTCAGAGCTTTCACTTTAGATCGTGAAAATGCAAGTGGTGCTAATTATCATTTAGAGCTGCAATCTGTCTGTGAGACTTTGAAAGGAAATATCTGACTTGCACCTCTTTATGGAAAACAAAGCGAGCCAATTAAATCTGCAAACGAGTCCCGTGAAAACAAGTGTTTTCTTCACTGTGGAAAGCGTCACTAAAGCAAGCCTCATTCTTTCCGCCTGCTACCCGTTATTTTGGATGCGCAGGTCAGAGAGGGGTCAAATGTGACCCGCTCTGCCTGCAGTTGTGGTCCAAAGAAAGCCATGGCCTCCCTCCTAATGGCCCGGTACGGCTCGCCTTATTACAAAAAACTCCTTGTTTTCCAGCCGTTTAGATACCAGGACAACATCATTGGAATGCAGGAATGCAGCGTGCAAAACTATTTCTGTTTATTTACTATGGAATTCCATGCACTACTTTGTCTGACATTCTTTACACTGTTGATGTTTATTGTCATTTATTACTTATTGTTACTGTAAATTAGTATCTAAGTGTGCTTTTTCTCTGTATGTGTTGTGCTACTGTAAACCTGCAAATACTTTCAAGATTAATGAAGCATCCATCCATTTATCTATCCATAACATCCTCACTGTGAGATGGGAAGATGACCTAGGTCCTGGTGTTGAATGGCAGCATGAAAAAGGAGGAAGATCGTTAAAAATAATTCTCATCTCATCTTTTTCAGTTGTTCCAGACACAACTTCTAATAGGCACTGCTGCGAGGTAGGCAGTTCAGCTATTTGTCCCCCAGAGCCTGGGGGGGAGAGAACAAAGGTCATGAGTCACATGGCAAGAACTTAAGATGAAGGCACTTGGGAATCACTGTCGCCTATCTCTCTCTCTCTCTCTCTCTCTCTCTTTCTCTGTCCCAGCAACGCCAGGTGCACCAGACTCAGAGTTTCCTTTGGAGGGAAAATTGTTTCCAGGTTAATAAAACGTGAATGGGGGGGGGGGGGGGGGGGGGGGGGGGGGGGGGGCAGGTTTTCAGTACAGCTTAGCTTTTAACTGCGAGGCAAAGCTTTCATGAAGCTCTAAGTTNGTGTCTGGAGAAGGGCCTAATCCTCTCAGGAAAACCCTGTTTACTGCCAAAGGTGATCTCTCATTATAACCCAGCTATACGCTTTAATTTCAGAATAAACCCTCCCAAAAGGGGGGGGAAATGGAATTATTTTTAATGCTAAGGCTGAGTTTTGACGAGAAGCGTGAAATATTTTCTGCCAGTAGAGTATAAAGTTTGTGAGAGGACGGCGAGCAGTGAAACGGGCCAGCGAGTGTCAAAAAGACACGTGTGAGCAATCTGGAGACTGGACAAGAGGGCGACCGGCTCCAGGTTTGAGACGCCGTGGAAACAGTGGATGTGTGGGAAAGCGGAAGAATGTGCTAGACTGAATGAGTGACTGGAAAAGTATGAAGAGAATATGAGAGTGAGAGAATGAGTGAAACAGCAGGAGTGAACAAGTAAGGATCACTATAGTGCGCGAAGGTCCCACCCTCAGCATCCACAAGCCAGGCGGGAGTGTCACAGGGACCTGGAGGGTCACATGCGGAATGTTCCAGATTCAACAAGCTCAGAGATTGTGCTGCATTCCAAAGGCAGACCTTGGGGGGGCGTTTATGTGGAGGTCAGCAGCTCCTGCTTCCATATGCACCTCTGAAGACCTCTGAGAAAAGGTTTCTGTCTGCCAGGAGGTTCCCCCACAGGAACCTGACCACCCTCCCCCCCCCCCCTTACTGCCTCCCCATGACTTGTCCCATTGTAATATTATTGTCTGGAGCTCCCATATGACTGTCCGTGTTTTTTTGGAATATTGCATTTAGGGTTAGTGTTTGATGTTTGTCTGTGTGGCATTTCTGATGTGAGGCTCTAAGCTGTGTTTCTGTACCTCTTTTTCCCACAACTATCCCACACTTGTTACTGGTCTCTCACTGGAAGCTCAGCCTAGCCACACTTATGCCAGGTCGACTCCAGGACAGCTGTATGTCAGTAATGTGTTATTTGCCTGATTTGGACATGGTTTTGGAGAAAAGCGTCTGCCAGATAAATGCACACGTGCAGGAGGACGAGGGCGTGGTCAGTGCAGTCCCACCTCTGGGAAAGCGCCCTCGGACTGCGCCGGTTCATTACCGCCATGTGGGGGCGCTCTTACCACTTCTGTCCTCCTGCCTCGTGTTGCTGCACGGTGTAGCCAAACTGGGCTTCAGCGGAGCCGGGAATCAGCCGGGGATTCTGGGTGTCGATGCTGAAGCAGTTGTGCAGACCTAGAGACGCGGAGGTCAGGCACTGATCAGCAGATTGTATCACCAGCCTGCTTACCTGGTAAATCATCATTTCTGTATTTGCAAGAACTAATGTCATAAATGTTTTACTCTGCCATAGTGGCTGTACAAACCCTGCACTTTCACTCTTTTATGACGGCCACTGCCCCATTTGGTTCCCACAATGTAATATATACCTGCCCCCCCCCCCACACACAAACTCTGAAATCACTCTGCCAACCCTGGGATTTAAACCAGTGACCTTCTGATCACTGGCACTGAGCCCTAATCCACAGAACCACCCAACACCCCATGTCAATACAAAGATCTCCTGGTCCAAAATATAAACACGAGTCAAACTTTGTCATGGAGTTTCTTAGAGATAGGCAGAGGAACTTGGTCATTCAGAAGGCGATGCTTCCCGTCCGCATTGAAAGGAGCCAGCTGATGATATTCGGCCGTTTGGCTAGGAAGCTTCCTGGACGCCTCCCTGGGGTGATGCATATCCAACTGGGAGAGGCCCCGGGACAGACACAGGACATGCTGGAGAAATTATATATCTCGTCTGGCCTTGGAACGTCTTGGTGTCCCTCCAGAGAAGCTGGAGGATGTGACTATGGAGAGGGAGGTCTGGGCATCTCTGCATCACCGCGTAGACTGCGTAGACCTGGACCCGGATTCAGAGCAGGCAGTCTGGACAAGGGCTTTTGTGCGACCAAATGACTTAAGCTGGTTTCATAGCCCGTACAGATACTGGGCGACGCTGCACTCCAGTGTTCACTCAGCAAACCCCCGTTATGCAGACACTGTGCAGGGGGCAGTCTTCTGTCGGGGCACCAGCTTCTGGATAATCTCATTATCCTGACAACCCAAACAAGACCAGCCTCATAGACAAACAAATCGAAGTGACCCACAAGCCCCCAGACTGACCCGTGCTACAGATGATAGGCCAGAGTGTCGACACGACCTACTTACAAACATAAATACCCTCATCTTAGGATGGGCATTCATCCTATAATGGATGAGGGCCCAAACAAACCAAAAGCAGAGCTATCAGGAGTCTTTGTCCTCTGCCTTTCTGTTAGCTTTGGACGGCACACAGAAAACAGCAGCCCCTCTGCTTTCAATTAAGATGTTTATCGTGAAACGTCCCTGTGAGTGAGGTATGGGCCTCCGCTGCCGTCGGTTCTCACTCACACATGCGTTCTCCACTTTAATAGCGCTTTACAGCCTTCGGCTATCCGATACCGTAATAATTATATCATCTGGCAGCACTGGTTCCCGATTTCCACACAGGAAACACGTATGACCATAAAGAGAGGCAACAGATGACAAGACCTCCTCCTGGAAGGAAATCTGCAGTGAAACTCATGAGCAAATCTATCTGAGGAAATCCATGCACATCCTGGCCTATGCTCATTCCGTCCATCTTCGTCCCCCCCCCCCCTTCGTCCTGATTTGTGGAAATTGCAAAGTGTCCCTTATCCCCATGGGGACCAGCAGGCGAGTCTGAGCAGAGGAACTGATTCTGTCACCTGTCAGTTTGTCACCATGTTCCCCGATTGCTCTTCATGTTGCACTTTCTGCTGATTTGAACAGTTCACTTACTAGGTTCTTGATTTGCTGTGTAGCTCCTGCTCTGATCCTGCCTACAGTCATACCTGGGCATTCACTGGAAGCTCAGCCTGCAATTATTATGCCTAGATGACTGCTTGTAATGTGCTGTTTGAAATAGAATAAATGTGATGTAGCTGCTAACGGGAGAACCGGCTCGTCTGTGTTGGGGTGCAGGGCACCCCCTGATTCCATCGCCAACAATTCGGATTCTCTACTGCTGATCTTGCACTCTGTATCCTCCAGAGGAATCAAGGGTTTATGGCAGAAAGGAAAAACTGAAATAATTCATTATTTTTTTGCATGCGCACTCACATAAAATAAATCAATAAAAACTGAATTTGAAGGGTGTTGCTCAATGTGTTCAGGCCACTTAAATGTTTTGCACATGTTTTTTTTTCTCTTCTAATTCGTCTCTAGGTGCCAATCACAGCATGGTGAAGCTAAACACAAACACATCAGCCAGGGTTTAGTGCCCGTCCCATGAGCTGGTCACAAAAGACAGAAATGTGCACCAGATCCCACGAGAGAGTGGCTTGGCTTAACTTCCTCAGATAGCTGGAAAACAGTGGAGTGAGGGAGAGAGAGAGAGCACCAGAGCAGGGAAGATCCTCTGTGTGCTCCTCAGAGCTCTAACGTGGCACAGACAATCTGGAAGCTTATACCAAAGCCGGGTTCCTGTGTGCAGATTCTCCTGCCCACATAAATAAGCCTCGACTCAGTTCTGCCAGCACACTGCTGGGCCAAAGTCAGTCTACAGAAGCTTCTCCATGGCAACATGGACAGAAAGCAGACTTTCCACTGATCAGCTTTACAGAGGCTGGCCGATGAAGAGCTGGGATTGAGGATCACACTCCTGTCACATGACTGTCCAAAGGTAATAAGAAATGTTTGCTATCTGCATAACCTATGGAGTCCCTGTCCCAGGTTGGACAATCACCTACATCAGTCCTACAGACTATATATTAATATACAGTGTTCTAAAGGGTCCCAAGATACTGTACAAGCCCTTCGTCAAAAAAATGTGGGCACAGGTAAGACCTGAGAAGATCATTCTGAGACGGAAATCCACTAATTAAATATTTAATATTTCCCTCAAAATCCAAAATCCACAAAGGAAAATGCACTAACCAGTACGTGGATTTGCGGGGTAAGGGGTCACAGCTTCAGACTGCCCTTGTTTCATTTACAGGTAGACTGGAGATACACATGTGACTAGCGTGGATGATCACTGAAGACATATGCTCTCAGTCACAGTGAAACATGCTCAAAGTCCTCGTAATCATGTCTTTGTGGGGACTCGTCCTTCATTTCTACGGGAAAAACCCTAATCTCAACTTTGACAAACTTAACCCCTACCTTGGCCTAACCTAACCCATAAGAAACCAAACAAAATACAAGACTTTAGGTACTTTTTCTTTTTTGATCACAGGCACAGATTTTTATAAAATTGAGGTTATCCTTCTGGGGAACAAAAAAAAAACCAGTCCTTATAAACGTCAAAATAATCTGTGTTCATCATATTGTGGGAACATCGCCAGAATGTAATATGTACATGACCACATACACACACACACACACACACACATACATACATATACAGTGTCACTCACTCATACATACTAATAAAGTTTGTAATTGCAGAAAACAGCTACTGACTGAGATTAGTTCTTTAGATCTAGTGACATCACACCTGTGCCCTTTGACATCACAAACACGCGACAGAGTGCCAATCAACATAACCAGCTTGATGCACTCAAACTGAGATTTCCCCAAGGTGATGTCAAGGCAGCCGAACCCTACCTTATTAACACTTCTCTCAAATATCTCAGACACAAAAATATATTACAAAAGCTGTTTCGACAACATTTCCTTCATTGAGAATGGTCCCTGAAATTTTATGGACTATGCAAATAGAGCACGAGGATCTGAGCACCAAATCCTCAAGCTCCAGAACAGGGTTCAACTGATCTGATTGACAGAAACTCTGGTAAAAGTTTAGGTATAGCAATTGTTCCATGGCCTGTGAAGACATCGCTGACATTCCTACTCTAAGCAAAGAAAAACAACAACAACAAAAAAATCAGCGACTAGTGATCCAGGCCCTGGCTCTGCATGGTGGAAACTGAGTGTCCAGTATCACCTTCTCCACCAAAGCTCACAGGAGCTTTAAACCCAAACGTCAGTATGGTCTTCAGAGCCAACCTTCCCCCTCAAACCTCCATCAGGCTGCTGGGTTCCGAATTCCTCCCCAGACATGCAGCGAGCTACTGCTTCCCAAAACCTCCATTCCTGAAAGTTTCCTTTAAACCTGACACCAATGTTTTTGAGAACAGAAGCTTCCTTGCAACCGTTCAGTCATTTCAAACAGCCCCTGTCAGCTGAGTCCATCACAGACGCCTCCCCTTACAGCAGTATCTCGCATTCCACAGGGGATCCATCAGAGCGCCTCCTACCTTTGCGACAGCTCTGAGACACGGAAAAACCACAAGAACACGAAGAGATTCGCAAACAATACCCACAAACATGCAAACGACCGTCTGCACTCTGTTAGAAGCTCATGCACAGCCACACATGCTCCAGCTGCATGGAGGCACACGCAGACACGCAGACACGCAGAAGCGTACGCCTGGACGGGCCCCAGGCGGGCACGGAGACACAGAGAGCGGCGCACCCCCCCCCCCCCCCCCCCCCCCCCCCGCCGCCGGCGGGTGGGGGGGGGGGGGCAGGTTTTCAGTACAGCTTAGCTTTTAACTGCGAGGCAAAGCTTTCATGAAGCTCTAAGTTCACCTGGTGATCCAGACATAAGCCAGCTTCTAGCACTAAGATAAGGCTAAAAGCCAGTGGCCCCATCAAAGAGGTTTCCCAGCCCTTATCGGCAGCATTCAAAAAGGAATTTTATGCAGGCAACCATCGCCTGGAGAAAGAGTGCAGCTTACTGCTAGGCACGTTAGCAATGGATCCCCGCTAACATGCTTTAATGAGGGCCTCGTTAATGCAAGGCCTGTTAATTGGATGCTTGTCGAGGGCAAATGCAGGCACCTCCACTGGACAGCCACACGTGGCAAATTGGGAAGACTGAGGCCCAGACAGGAAAGGAAAGAGAGAGAGAGAGAAACAGAAAGAGTGACAGGGAGAAAGAAAAAGGGAGAAACAGAGACAGACAGAAAGAGAAACAGAGTGACAGAGAAAGCGAGAGAGAAAGAGAGAGAAACAGAAAGAGAGAGAAAGAGGAAAACCGAGAGAGAAATGGAGAAGAAGTGAGACTAAGAGAGACAGAATGAAAGAGCAAACAGTTTTTTTCTGGGTTTGGTGTGTTTGACTAAACACATAATGCTCTGAATTATAAACAATGTAATTCTATCCTGATTTTAAATGCCTCTGCATTTTTGTT